AAAACTATAACCAAATGATTTTTTATTTGAAGAACCAAAACTATTTAATTTTTTTTGTAAAACCGAATCGAACCGCTTGGTTTGGTTTGGTTTGGTTTGGTTTGGTCTGGACATTTTGTCCACCCCTACCACTGGAAGTCACAAATTCGGACACATTGCACTGAACCAAGATACTAATGCTTTTTACCACAATCATTCATTTTAAAGAAGCACCAGGAATAACTTAAATCAGATATCAGATGGAGAAAGAGTAGCCTTGAAGTACAATAAATAGAGTGTCTAGAGATAAATGTGTATCAATTCCCTTTTTATGCATTTTCATAGGCCATGTTTGTTTTAAAATAAAAAATCAAATTTTAATCTAAATCAAAGTCAAACAATCAATATTAACCTTATCTTTCATATGTCCCACAGGTTTTCAACTACACATTTCAAAAACTTCTATCACAATCTACTAAAAATCTAATTTTAATCTCCACCAAACATGCACATAATTTGAAAACGACTTTGTCGAAATAAACCCTAAAAAGCTATTTATATAATGGAAATCAATATTAGAATTCTTGATTATGTGACTTCTTGTATACACTTCAATTTCAGGAAGATGAAGATTATAATACTGCTGATGAAGGTAATGTTCATTAGTTGATGTGAAATGTGGATAAGGTTAAGATAGGATTCTGAGGTATTTAGTAGTATGGTTTGATTCAAATTATGTTTGTTTATATTAAGATTAGATTGATTTTAAAATTTTGGTAAGGTTTTAGTTTATTAGAACTTCTTTTGATTTTAGAATTTCTCATTGTAATACTTAGATTTTGATATTAAATAGAAATTAATACTTTATTTTTTCAATGTTCAATTGTGTTCACCATCAATTTAATATCAGAGTAAGTCATTTTCGTTTGACCAAATAAATCTCACGAAGTGTTCCCGTTACAAAAAATAATCTGCAGCAGTCGCTAATATCTGCTCCAACCTTTCAACCAGCCATCACCGTTCCCTACTATCACAACTACCTTCAAACCACCCAAAACCTTCACATTAACCTTAGTCAACAGTAGCAAAAAGAAGAATTCATCGGGCTTTATTTAGCAGATCACTCCCTCCAAAAACATTTAAAAAAAGAAAAGAAAAAAACGCACTTGTTGTGTACACGTTACTGTTGCTACCGCAAACTCACTAGAATTTCAGCCCACTCTCTAAAAGCACAATAATTCACATAACCCAACATCTATACACTAACACACAAACGTAGCCCACTTTCAGCAAAGCCTATTTTTCGACAACCTAATAGGCTAATACCTAACCATGTCTCCGCTATCGACGGTTGCATCTCATTGGCGACCAACAAAACCAACCCACTCCTTGACCACCCAACCAAACATAACAATTTTCTCAAAAATGTACATCAAACACCCCCTTAATAATGAATTTGGTAGAGAGACTATTTGTGAAGTGCATTATCAAGATCAAATCTTACTCGTCACAATCTATATAATCTTTAGAGACTTTTTTTTGTTCCCTTTCATTGCCATACCTATAGTCGATATGAATAACTGATGCAGGGGAAGCTTATA